AGGAGGAGGAGGAGGGCGACGAGGGTGACGAGGAAGGGCAGGAGGAGGAGGAGGAGGAAAGGGAGGAGGAGATGGAGGAGAAGGAGGAGGGTGAAGAGGGCGACGAGGTAGGGGAGGAGGAGGAGGAGGAGGGGGAGGAGGAGGAGGAGAAGGAGGAGGGCGACGAGGGCGACGAGGTAGGGGAGGAGGAGGACGAGCGGGAGTAGAGGAGAAGCGTGCAGAGGAGGCACTGATACCCACCGGGCGATGGCGGCAGCTCCTCCCGCACAGGGCAGCACGGCAGCACTTCAGCACGGGGCGGCACTTGAGAACGGCGGCAGCTCCTCCTTGAAATGGTAACGGCACTGCTCGCAAGAATGACCATGGCTGACCAGAAACCTACTCAAGAGACCCAGCCAAGCCCACCCACAGACACAGTACAAAGTGGTTTCGAAAATTCGAAACCTCGCGGTCCAGCCTTGAGCGTGGGCCTAAAAAAACATTTCTTGGCCGTGGCATCAATTTTGGCGGGGGCCACCAATGTGCCGTTTCGAACCCCGCCCTTTTTTTTTTTTTGGGGGGGGGGGGGTTCGAGCCGTTCCCCTCACACCTCGTGCGCCGCGCGGGAACGGTCGGGCGCATGCGCGGAACGGCGGGAAACTCGCGCACGACGTGTGCTTGCAAGTATGATCTGGACCTGTACTAAGTCCATACACGCTTATAATGCTGTGCAACAAAGGGAAGCCCTATGCCTTTCCACGATGATCGCATGCTCCACAAGTAGTTGGATGGTTCTTGATTTTCATTCCTCAGCGTTGCATGGGGACCTTGTGAATCTTGCCCAACTGCTCCTGATTGAAAAACAGAAACAGTACCCCCTCTCAGCCTTAACCCAGTCCTTGACCCATGTGAAATCCAGAGAAATCAAGGACAGAATTCCAATACAGTGGATGGAGGATTACTGCAAGGCTGGAATCATGGTTATACAAGACCTGCAGTCCAGACAAATCTCGACGTACTTAGACTAGGGTTCAAGTTTTCAGATGTGACCCGAACATCCAAATCTGACCTTGTGTTTGGGCGGGCTTGGAATCTGAAGGCCTGCATTATGTGCTGGAAGTTCCGTACAGACCAGATTTAAAAACAGCAGATCCGACAGCTGCAAACACCTAAACGGTTAGTTGAACTTAATTCTGAAGAGGGTAATGTGTGTGGGTGTGTGGTGGTTGTTTTCCTGATTTGTGTACGTATATAACTCATTGGTTAGTGTTTTTTTTTGACATCCATTTCCACGTGTACTGTTGTCCAGGTCAATCCGATTGCCGTAAACAGCCGCTACTGCAATGTTTTCACCCAGAACAAGAGGGCAGTTGCACTCATTGAAACAGCACAATTTGGCAAGGTAACCCCAAGCCTTTCCCCCCCTTCTCCTCTCTCTCTCTCTCTCTCTCTCTCTCTCTCTCTCTCTCTCTCTCTCTCTCTCTCTCTCTCTCTCTCTCTCTCT